ATCTCTCAAAAAAAAAAAAAAAATTCAAGAGGGACTCAAATGGTGGTCAACTAGGCAGGAGTCCAGTGATGTGACCATTATGCCATCTGCTAGTCCCCAAGGTTCATTTCCAGGGTGAGGGAAAATTGAGCTTTTTCATATCATCAGGAAGAACAGGAATTTTTTTTATTTTTTTTGATAGAGATTTTTGTCTTAGGGCACATGCACTTGCTGGAGAGACAGAGACAGTGAGAGGTCAAGTGAGAAATCACCCCCTCCCACCCTCCCGGATGGCCACGCCACAATCCCTTCTCTCATTCTCCTCCCAGGATCTTGGACATGCACGCACATGCATCTGAGTTTCAAGCCATCTGGTCCAAGTCTCGAACCTCAGTTGGCCTCGTAGAAGTCCAGTGATGTAACCACTATGCCATCTGCTGGCCCGGAGAACAGGAATTTTGCAAACTGCTTTTGCACACGTTTGCCATCAGACAGTTGGTTGCTTCTTCCTTCCCCAACTTTTCAGAGAGCTGGGGCTCAGTTCCTTTCCCTGCTGTCGTTTTCAGTTGTATTTATCAAGCGACCATAGGACCCTGCTGAGATCGTCTAAGAAGTCCTGGCTGCAGGAGGTGTACCTGACAGACGAGGTCTCCCAACGGAGCCGCTGGCAGGCCGTCTTCCTGGACCCGCAGCTCCGCCTGGAACAGGAAGGCTTCCCCATCCAGGTGGGCGCAGCATTGGGGAGACACAGGGCCGGCTACGGAAGGGGACTCAGCTTCCTCCCGTCTGTGGAATAGAGTTCTGTCATGGTTCAGAGGCCTCATACTTTCTAGTTTTCACTTACAACTCGAGATTGGAAGGTACCAGTTTGCCGCTCGGCAGCATTCAGCGTCGGAGTTTCTCAGCTCTGGCCTGCACGTTAGAATCCCCTAATGAGCTTTAGTAAATGACTAAGCCCAGCCGAGCGCACCGATGGAGACGGTAGGATTACTGCTTTCTTTCAGGCCCTCATTAAGCCCTAATTTCTTTTTATTTTATTGCATTTTTTTTGTCCTTCTTGAGGGATTTTTGCTATAGGGCATGTATGCTCGCTGGAGAGACCAACAGAAAGTGAGGGGGGGTTGGTCACGCCGCAATTGTCTCTCCTCCCTCCTCCTCTCGGGCTTTTGGGCACATACGCACGCGTACCTGGAGCGTTAAGCACTAATTTCTAAAGGAACTGGGAAGTCTGGGGGAAGTGAAGGGGATACTAGGCAGCCATACAGGGAAGGGCAGTGACCTTGCAGGGCTGTATCAGTCTTGTCCTTGTTAGCCCCTGGACTCTGCGGGGCTGGAGCCCATGCCAGGGTCGTTTCAGGAAGGCAGGGCATCTGGTGGGCCTGGAGCGGGCATTGCTGTTTCAAGTGCCAGGGGCTTTGCTGTCCCCAAGGCACATAGCAGATGCACAATGGGGACTTGTCGAAGTCACTGGGAGAGCGGAAATAGCCGGAAGGATTTCTAGCATTGGCCAGCTGAGGTGGCCACCCTGAATCCACCTGACACAGTAAACCCGTCTCCTGAGGCCTTCCAGGTAGACTCTGACGTCCAGAGTTTTTCTCCTTGGAGAGAGGATATTACCCACTTCCTCCCAACAGGCTCCACACGCCGACCGCCTCTTCTCTTCGTCTGGCCTCTGCTAAGCTTTGCTGTCCTGGGAATTACCTCTGATGTGTACAACTTAAACTGTCAATGCCTCTGTTTCCTTGTCTAGAAACCGGGGCCGATCCTAAGCAATACCAGCCTCCCGTGGTAACTACGGTTAGTGCATTTAGGGTGCTGACAGAAAAGCGCTGGGCTCCCTGAAAGCTCTCACGAGCCGTAGCAGCAGCCGTGTCTCTGGTCATGGTGTCTGTGGTGGTGGTTTTTATTAGAGCTGTTGAAGGAGCCACGGCCAGCCACCAGGCCTTTCCGCCATGGCTGACTCACTGATGGCCCGAGGCTGGTCTCTGACCCTCCCTCGGATGTGGTTACCGTCTGAAACACGGGGAGCCCGTATCTGTCTGTGCCGCTTTGCACGCACCAGAGCCCTCCGGCCAGGTACCAGCAGGACCCCTGTGGCTGGCCAACGTGGCCTTGTTTGTCCCCGCAGGCAGAGCACACAGCGTGGGGGCGTGGGGGGCGTCTCAGCGAGGGGCTGTTGGAAGGGATGCTCGGAGAATTTGGGCTTTGGTTGGGGGCATTGCAGTGAGACCCAGGAAGGATAGCTTTGTTCTAGACCGGTTGCCGTCAGGAAAAGGGCGATCCCGTGAGTGGGTAACTCCAGAAGTCTAACCCCTGGGCAGGGCAGCCGGGGGCGAGCGAGGGCACGGCTGTCGGAGGAAGCAGCAGGTTGCTCACCCGCGCTGGAGAGGCAGGAGCCGGGTGCTCTGGGGCTTGGGTGGCGCTTGTGCCCTGTCACGGTTCCAGAGCAGCCTGTCTCACCCTGACCCGTCGGGGTCGGCGTGGCCTTGTCTGGTGCGGATTGACGGTTTCCCAGGACACGGAGCCACGGCCGCGAGTGCCTGGCCCACCCCCACCTGTCGGGGGCCGCTTTCTCATTCTTCCTCAGCTTCCGGCTTCCGTGAGTCGGGATCCGCAGTAACGGATACGTGTTCGCTTACGAAAATCCAAGAAAGCACGAAAATAACTCTGGAAGTAGTTCCCCCTTCCAGAGAAAACCACTGTTATCCATCAATTTTTTCTCTGACACAGCGACCTCTCTATCTTCATTTATAAAATAGGCTGTCATGGGCATATCTGTTGCCTCCTCGTTTCATAGCCACTGAGCATACCTCACACTGTCCAGTATGATTGGCATGGTGATGTCATCCTGTGGATCTCGACAATGGATTGACTCAATCCATTGTTCGGCTTCTAAGTTATTCCATATATGTACGTATGTATGTATGCATACTTTTTTTTTTTTTTTTTTTACCAAATTGAGCATGTAGTATATTGAATTTTTCTTGTTCTTTAAGGACATCTTGCATACTTTTTTTTTTTTTCTTTTACCAAATTGAGCATGTAGTATATTGATTTTTTTCTTGTTCTTTAAGGACATCAGAGTGCTAACATCTCATTTTCTTTATCTGTGAAGGCAAACACCAAAATTCTCATCTATCACTGCCACACGAATCGGGCTCTGGCGGTTCACCGGCAGCTGTTCTTGAGGTATGGCAGCACAGAGTGCGGCAATTTTTTTTTTCTTTTACCAAATTGAGCATGTAGTATATTGATTTTTTTCTTGTTCTTTAAGGACATCAGAGTGCTAACATCTCATTTTCTTTATCTGTGAAGGCAAACACCAAAATTCTCATCTATCACTGCCACACGAATCGGGCTCTGGCGGTTCACCGGCAGCTGTTCTTGAGGTATGGCAGCACAGAGTGCGGCAAAATGCCCCTCGGGCCGGGCGGTGAACAGAAGCAGAGAAACTTGAAAGTGGCTTTTGATGATGAAATATTGTCACCTAAAACTTTGTTTCTTCCTTTTTTTTTTTTTTTTCCTTTTTTCTTTCTTTCTTTTTTTTTTCTTCTCTTTTGTGCTAGGGAGTGAGTATACTTGTCAGAGACAGAATGATAGGGAGACAGAGGAGAGGAGAAGAGAATGCACCCCCCACTCCCCATGGGGTGTGGTCACACTGCAACCCCTTCTCCTCCTCCTTTCTGGATTGTGGGCATGCATGCATATGTGCCTGGCATGTTTCTCAAGACACTGGGTCCAGGACTCAAACCATGCAGTCGGCCTTGTGGGTCCAGTTCCCTAACCACTGGACCACAGGGCCAACCCATCACATAGCACTTGAATGGTATGAAAAATCCTATCAGACCCCTTTCTCCTTACAAGTTCTTTCCTCACAAAAGGATTTCAGCTACAGAGAGATCCTCTGTTGATTTCTTGCCCACACGGGAAACGTCCCTGTAAATGTCCCCTGTTAGAGATCCTCAGGGGCTTTCTATAGGAGTCTCCGCCCTTAGGTGCTTTTGAGACGGACATGAGCAGCTTGTGGAGAGCTGTCATTTATTCCTTTTCCAAGCGGAACTCACTCTTTCTTGCTCCAGAACCTACTTCGGAAAAGAGGCTGAGGTGGTAGCTCACACACATCTGGACTCACACAAAGTCGAAAAGCCAAAGAACCACTGGATACTGGTCACTGGGAACCCCAGGAGTGACATGTCCACCATGTTGGATCTGCCCAAACCGCCGGCCGAGGACACCCGAGCTATGGAGCAGGCCATGGGCCTAGATTAGCAGTAACACACTGGGCACACATGTTCTCGGGAGGGGGGGTGGGGGTGGAGAAAGAGTATTTGACAGTGACAAGTATTTGAAAATGGCCCTTGGTTGATAACTCTTCTGAGATCCGCCATAGTCGCACCTTCTCCGGGGACTGCGCACCTCTTCTTAAAGCTAAGTCTACTTGATAAAGCTCTCAGAACTCCGTCAAAGTTTCGGGAGAAGCGTTTCCCCTTGACTCTTCAGGGTACTAAGTGATCCCCTCCGGGTAGCGAGGAGCTGTGGCCCTGACCTTCATGATGAACTTCTCCTGGATTAAAATGTTCTGTCTGTCTGTCTGTCTACCTCTGCCTTAGGAGGCTGTATACACTACCTGACTTACTGTTTCATAGTGATTTTCCAGCGGCGGAATCTCTCGGTTTTTACCTTATCTTCGAAAGTGGTAGTTATCCATTTCTCTCGGCACCCATGTGATTAGAAAGTTCCTGACACAATAAACATGCATCCTCATTGATTTGTGCATTCTTGTTTTTTATTTATTTATTTATTTATTTTTTTTTTTAGAGATTTTTGTGATAGGGTGTATGGGCTCACTGGAGAGACAGAGACAGAAAGCAAGAAATCACTTCCCGGGAAGATGACCACACCACAATCCAGCCTTCTCTCTGGATCTTGGGTGTGTACGCACATGAACCCACCGTGAGTTTTAAGCTGCTGGATCTGGGACTCGAACTGGGGTCGACTCTCTGGGAGCCCAGTGAGGTAACCATTATGCCATCTGCTGGTCCCTTTGTTTATTCTTCCCTCTGTTGGTGCATGCCTGTGATGTGTGAGTATGTTACGGTGAGATGGAGGGTCCTGCCTCGTAGGTCTAGGTAAGCCGATTGGCTGGTTCACAAATACGTGGACTGAAAGGCAGAAAGTGAGTTTGTAAGTAAGAATGTAGATTTTTTGGGGGAGGCGGGGCTGGCAGGTGGCATGGTGGTTAAAGGTGATGGACTCCCACATGACCAACTGTGGTTCGAGTCCTAGACCTGGTGGCTTGCTTTCTTGCTTTCCCTCTCTCTCTCTCTG